TATCATTGCTAATATTATCAGTCTTATTATGACAATATCTCCAACTGACCCCTTTCCATTTTGATGTCGTTGATATCAATGGTCAACAAACAAAAATTGAAATCAATCACATTCACAAATTAAAAACCAACCTTGAAGAACGGTTCGACCAATGAAGCCTGCAAGTTGGCTGCTCCCGTTGAAACACCCTCAACTAGTACCACATTTCCTCGTTTCTTGTTCTCTTCCAGCTCTCGTATTCCATCAGGTGCTTCATATTTCGACTGTGAGAATGGAACGATTCGAAGTGGACGTTCGGCGGACGCCATCGAATTAATGCGCCATTCGAATGGAATTTCACCAACACTCGAGAACATATCACCTAAAATTTCACCACGTTTTTGCTTCCTTTCTGCATTCCCGTCTCCAAGATCAACTACAAAATCGCTAACAGACCATAAAAATAAATCAGATCTGATCACTCGAAAACAATTACTGACGGTCTCCCAAAATTCATCTCAATACCGTTCAATAATCGTGCAACTGGCATCAAAACAGTGCTTTGCAGACTCATCATGAACTAAGGGATTATTCTTCACATCATGATATATACAAAAACAAACAAGCACTTTGAAAACTCTTGTGAAAAAATCCGTTTCAACTGCTCTTCCATGTTCATACAATTAACTATTGCGCAAACTGTTCCGTCAAATTCTCAAATGTTTTCTGCTTAATCAGAGCCAATCGGATTCATTCTTTTTTCTAAGCAAATCACTCTTTAATATGTTATTATACTGCACTCAATATACCTTCTGAATTGAGTGCGTGCACAACCATTTTCGCTGGGGCAGCATCCAAAAACAGCACTTTTGTGGTGGTCGAAAGTTGTATCCGCCGAATTGTATCCACCGAAACACCACAACTCAGTATCACATGAGCATCTGAAAAGCAACGTTCTTCTTTTGTGAACAACTCATTGTTGATTTTCTATTGATTCTCACGCACTGCATGATTCTCACTCATCAATTTCTTCTCAAAGATTCCATCTATACTAATCACTTCTCCAAAATGACCGTCTAAGACGAGGTTCGTAAGAAAATTACAAAAGGATT